TAATAAAAATTTAATAGCAAGTAAATACTTAATTTTTTAATTTAATTACTTATAATTCTAGTTCTAGCACTTTATATTTTAGCATGCCTTTATTTTAAAGTACTTTATTATTAAAGTTTAATTATAATACTACTTTTTTAGCCTGCGCTTTTTTTATTTTATTTTTTAAAGGTAAAGCTAAATTTACCTTGCCTAAAAATAGGCAAGTAGCCTATAATAATTATATTAAGTATTTAATAAAGTATTATAATAAGCGCTTTATAAAATATTTTTATTTTTAGTTTATAACTTTTAATATAATTATAAAAAAATAAGTAAATATTTAAGTAAGTTTTTATATTTATTAAAAGGCTAGTACACATGTAAATATTATAATTAAAAATATTTAAGCTATTTTTTAAAATAATAGTTTTAAATTTACTAGCTTATTAAACTTAATTACCTAATTTTTTAATAATTTAAAAGGCACCTGTTTATTTTAAATAAAAAAACGCAGGTAAATTAAGTTTTTTATATTAAATTTAAGTATGTTATATTTATTTATAATACTTTTTATTATTAATTTTTATTAGTATAATTTAATACAGCACCTCCCTTGCTTTAAAAAGTAATATTAAAAATTATTAACTAAATAAATTAAAATTACACATAATAATTTACGTGAAAACGCTTATATTATTTTTTATTATTTTTAGTTATATTTTAAAATATTTAAAAAGTTTATTTTAAAGCCTAAGTTTAAAATTAATAATAAGTAATTTTATTTTAAATAGCAAGGCCGTGAATTAATATATTTATATAAATTATATTAAGTTAATTTAACTCTTGCTGCTAATATTTTTTTAAAGTAAAATATATTTTTTTAAAGTATAAGATATATTTATAAAGTTTTAGGGTATTTATATATTTATACTTAATTTAAAGCCTAGGTAGAAGTTTAACCTAATAAATAAGTATTTTATAATATTTTTATTTTTTAAGAATTAGTATAATATAGTTGCTTATTTATTTATAATTTTAAATTATATATAAAAACACTAGTGCTCCAAGGTATATTACCTTAAAAAATTAAAAAAATTAAAAAAATTTAAAAAGGTTTATTACTATTTTTATTATTTTATATTATATATTAAAAAAATATTTTTAGCTAAGCCTTTTTAAGTATTTTATTACTAGCTATATTTTAAATATAATAATTTATATTTAAATTATTATAACTAGTTAATATTTATAAGTTAGCTAGTAAATATAAATATAGCACCTTACACAAGCACTTGCGTAGTAATAAATTATATTATTAAATATATTATAAAAATAAAAATAAAGACCATGTTATATAAGAATATAATAGTAAAGTTAATTTTATATTTAAACCTAAATAATCCCCTTTTTTCTACCATGGTAAAATTAATAAATAAATTAATATTTAAGCAGGATTAATTAGCGCAGGAGATTTACTATTTTTTAGTTTACTTGCTTTTAATATAAGGGTTATAAATAGTTACTTATATTAATTATTATTTAAAGGAATAACAAGAATAGTTATTTATTATTAATTAAGCTAATAATAATAATTTAAAGGCTAATAATACTCCTAGAAAAGGCCTTTTTTTTATTAAATATAAATAATACCTAAATAAGTATAAAAATGTTACTTTTTTAAATTTTTTTTAAATTATAAGTACAGGAGTGTGGCTAAAATATATTCCTAATATTAAAAAAAGGCGTGTGTTTTAAATTACTTTTTTAAGTATTTTATTAATTAAACTAAAAATTTAGCATGTTTAAAGTTAATACTTTATTACTAGTTTTAAAATATTAATAGCCTAAAAATTATTAAAGGTGTTAAGTATTTAACTTTTTATAATATATATATTATTTACCAGGAAGCCTATAATTATTTAACTAATTTTTATTATATTTTTATTACTTTAGCTTTAAATAAAAATAATAATAATAATTTTAAGTAAATAAATAAAAAAAAGTAAAAAGCATGGGTTAAGCTTATTATATAATTTTTAAAAAATAATTTTATTTATTTTAAAAATCTTAATTTACTTAAAAATTATAATATTAATTACTTTTATAACTAAAATACTTATATTAGCAAGTATCCTAAAACTATAATAAAATATAAATAATAAAATAATATTAAAATAATATTTTTAGTTATTATATTACTATATTTTAAAATATTAATTTAAAAATTAAAGGTTAAGCAGCGGCACCTGTATAACCTTATAATTAAGTATTATTAATTTATTTTTATTAATAACTTTTTATGCTTTATTTAAGTTAACTTAAATAGCTAGGCAGGAACTAGTAAAATATATATAATTAAATTAATATTTATATATTTATAAAATATAGTTATAGCTGCTAGCTAAAAAATATTAATTATTTATATTACTTTAACTAAAGTTACTATAAATATTATATTAAGGTATACTTTGCACGCACTTTTTTATTTCCTAGTTAGTATTTAATAAAAATATTAAGTATTAAATTTATAAAACTTACGCGTGCTTTAAAGTTTTTTTTAGTATATATTATTTTATTATTAATAAAAAGTTTATGCTTGGATTGCCATGCATGCAGTAGATTAATTAGTATTATTATAAAGTATTTTTTATTATTAATAATAACTTTAAAGAAATTAGTTTTATTTTTATAGGGAATTTTTACTAATTACCACCTATTATATAGCGCCTGTTATTTTATAATTAATTATTAAAAAATATTAATAAGGTTCACGCACGCTATTTATATTATTTATTTAATATTATTATTAAGCTTAATATTATTTAGTGGCAGGACAAAAGTAATTTATATATAAAAGCCTTTAAAACTACTTTATAAAATTTTTATTATAATAGGGTAATAAAAAATAATTAAAAACTTTTTTTATTATATATATAATTAATTTATAGTAGTAAGAATAGTTTTAAGAATATATTATATATATATTATAAGAAAATTTAGATTTTTACCTAAAATTATAACATGTTACAGGATCTAAATTATATAATTTTAATTATTAATACTATATATAAGAATAGGAATATAAAAACTATATTAACTAAAAATATAAGTAATTTATATTTTACTTTATATTTTTATATAGGCGCCCGTGTTATATTAATAAAAAATTATTAAGTTAAAGCTAGCCTAGTAAATAGATTTTTAGGTATTATTATTAATATTAATTAGTTACCTAACTTTAATTTATGTATAGATTTTCCAGGTGCTATTTATATTAAGTTTAATAAGTATACTAGGCCAGGCGTTATTATTAATAATAAGAATTATATTATACCTATTTATTTTTTAAAGTAAAAGTTTATTAAGGTAAATATAACTTGTTACCGCACCTAGTTTTTTTTAACTTTTATATATATTATTATTATTTATAAGGCACAGGGGATAACTATTAATAAAGTAGTTTTAAATATTTTAAAAAAAAACTTTTTATTAGGTTTAATATATATAGTGGTTTCTTATGTTAAAATACTAGGTAAAATTTTATTTAAAAAGCCTTTTAACTATAATTAATTTAAGCCTTAAAAGTTAAAGGCTAGTAATATAGCTTTAATATACTTAGTAAATATTAAATATAAGGCTATTTAATATATATATATACTTTATTTATTAAAATATTTAGCTAATTAATTTAATTATAATATTTCCTAGCTTTTAAGCTTAAGCCTTTTATAATTAAATTACTTAAACCTTAATATAAAATTAGTTTACTTATTTACTTATTTTTTTTTACTTTTAATTATTTTTTATATTATAGCTGGTTATTTTTACTTAGTTTTTATTAGTTAAATAGCTTACTTAAATATTTATAAATTAAATAAGGCTATAAATAAGTATAAAAAACCTAATATTATAAAGTTATATTAAGTTTTTAATTTATAAATTTTTTAAATATTAAAATAATACTTTTTAATTTTTTAAAATTTTAAGTATAGGGCTATTTTAAATATATTTTAAATAATAGCTTTTTATTAACCTAAGGCTACTAGTTTAAATAAATAAAAATTAATACTTTTTTTTAAGCTAAGTATATTAAATTTTTATATATAAAATTAAAATTTAAAAGTTTAATACTTTTTAAAGGTTTTTATTATTATATTAACCTAATTAAAAAATAGTAAATTAATTTTTTAATTTTACCTAATTTACTTAACTTATAAAAAAAAAAACTTATATAATTATACCCAGGTTTAAACCTAGGACCTTTTAATTTTTAAAAATTTTTAAAAAATAGTTTTTAGCTTAGTTTTAGCTTATTTAAGCCTAAAAAAATAAGTATTTTTTTAATAAAAATAAGTACTTAATACTTTTTAAAGGCTTTAAGTATTTATATAAGGCTTTTTAAAGCCTAAAACAAGTTAAAATTATTTTTAAAGGCTAAATTAGGTTATTATAATACTAGTATATAATTATTAAATTAAAGGGCTATATAAGTTATTATTTACCTAATAAAATAATCTTTATTTTTTAAGGGGTTAAACTAAAGTACTATAACTACTTAGCACGCGGGCTACAGGGTATTTTATAAGGCCTTGTCCATCCCACCCACGCAACCAGATTTTATTTTAAATATTATTTTTATTATTTAAACTTAATTAATTAAATTTATTAATATTATTCTTAACTGCTTGTTAACTGCTTGCTAAGCGCTTACTAACTGCTTACTAAGTATATATTATTTTTTTCTTATAAAATAAATAAATAAAAATTATAATAAATTACTGTACTGTATTGTAATAGGTCAGATGCGCGGTAATTTATTTTTTTGGTGATATTACACGTGACTGCCAAGACTTAAAGATTATGTAACAAAGGCTCATGTGAGCGTTCGGAATGTCCCAGGTCACCTCAACCCTCGTCACCTCAACCCTCAACCAGATCAATCGCCCAAACCTCTCGTTGTCAGACCCCATCCTCAGTCAAAGCGAGACATGAATTGTTCCGCACGTAAGACCCATCGGATGATCCCAAACAATCTCTCGGCCTTTGGGAGTACTCCTTCGCGTCATGTTAACTCTGCCCCTTTATATTCAACATTACCTCGGCAGGATAAATTCACGTATACCTGTCCTATTGACGCAGAACCTCTGGATCGCTATAAAAGAGGTGGCTACCATCCAATTCGGTTAGGGAGCTCATTGTGCGCCGGGAGATACAAGATACTACATAAGCTAGGGTGGGGAGGCTACTCGACAGTGTGGGCCGCAAGAGACCAAAGGTTATACAACATTCCTACTTAGTGAAATGGTACTGACTTGGTGCAGAAAAGGAAATTATGTTGCTGTGAAAATCTCTGTGTCCGAGACGGGATGTGACAGCGTGGTGCAAGAGCTAAATGTGTTGAAGGAGTTGGCATCGAGACCTGCCTATTCCCAATACGTCGTGCGCTTGATTGAGAACTTTGAGTTGGACGGACCGAACGGGACACATTGCTGCCTTGTCTTTGAGCTTTTAGGGCCAAGCGTCCCTGACATGATTGATATGCGTTTCTCTGATGGGAGGCTGCCCGGAGCACTCGCCAAGGCCATTACGAAACAAGCTCTTCTTGGACTTGACTTTCTCCATCAACAGAAGATTGCACATGGAGGTCTGTCACACCTATGGTTCCTTTTCTTTCTGACGTTATAAACGGTGCTCATTGCCCACAGATCTTCACACTCGCAATTTGGCTTTTTCCATAGACGCCATGGAGAACGTATCAGAACAAGAATTTGTTGAAACACTAGGGGAACCAGAAATTGGCCGTGTCTACAACACTGATCGGAAAGATTTAGGACCCGGTGTACCCCAATATATCGTCAGGCCAGCGCGGAGGTTTTCGTCTCGTTCGCCGTCGTTTGTCAAGATTATTGACTTTGGTGAATCATTTTTGCAGCAGAGTGCTCCTCACAGTCTTCACACGCCGCTACCTGTTCGCGCGCCTGAAGTTATATTTGGGGATCATTTGGATTGCCGTGTGGATCTGTGGAGCCTGGGATGCATGGTATGAAATCGCTGATAGCTTTTTCAGCATGGCTAATTGATATGTTAGATATTTGAGCTTTTCGTCGGCCAACCGCCCTTTGACAGCTTTTTGCTAACACCTAAACTCTTGGTGGATCAAATGCAAGAGTTGACCAATGAACCATTACCTGAAAGATGGCAGGGATTATGGGAAACAATGAGCGGCGACGTTACCACAGAAGGCTCGAAGATCAGATTGCAGGAATGGTTACAAGAGATGTATTTTGATGGTGAACGAAACACTGATTTGAGTGGTGATGATATCGTCAGGTTGGGGAATATTATTCAAAAACTGCTGCGTCTCGAGCCGTCTGCCAGGGCGTCAGCGAGGGAAATACTAAGCGACCCGTGGTTTCTGGATTAGACTGCGAGAAATCCTTTATACTTACTTTGCTAATATACCCTAAGTTTACTTAGCTTTAATCAGTTACTAGGTCCCACTAGCAGTCTAGTAGCTTGCAGTAGTATAGGGATAATTGGTAATTAAATAATTTTTCATAGTAATAAAAGTAACAACGTTGAATTTAGTAGTAAATATAATTTTCTTAAAAAAATAGTAAAAAAAAAACTATTTTCTAGCAGCAGTGGTTAAATAAACTATAGCTAGACTAGTAGTAGTTAGTATTGTGGAGGGGCAGTACTAGAGCATGGGAGCTAAAAAAGCTAAATAGTGGCAGTATCCTAGGACTAGATAGTATATAATATAGGTAAAAATAATAGTAAAAAAAATATATATATATATTAAGGTAAATAATAAATTAAGTATAAAAGGTAGGTAGTAAGGCTATAAATATTATAAAAATTAATATTAAGGTGCAACCCTATTATATTTTTTTAAAAAGGGGCTAAAACTTACTAGTAAGTAAGACTTTTTTTTACTTATACCCTTTATTTTTTTTAAAATAATATTTTAAAATATAATAGCTAGCTATGCTTTACTAGGCTAGCCTTTACTAGGCCTTTTTTTTACTTTTTTTTTTTTTTTAATATTATGTATGGTAATAATTAAGTAATTTAATAAATATGTTTTAAAGCTTGTTAATTTTACTAGGATAAAAAATGCTAATAATAATTAATAAGTAGCTTAGCTTTATTTAATACTTTTTTAATAATTATGGCTATATAAGTAAAAATAAAAATAAAAAATAATATTATTTTATAATAATTATAGCTAAAGTTACTAAAATACTTTTATTTTAGCTTTTAAAACTATATATATATATATTTATAGTAATAAAAATAGCCTTTTTTTTAAAAACTTAAAAAAGTTATGCCTAATAAATATATTTAAGTTAAATACTAGCTTTATTTTATTAACTATTTTAGCTAAATTTTATTTATAATATTTTATTAAAATATTATTAATAGCTCCTAGCCCCTAGAGTTAAATAATTAAAATAAATAATTATAAAATTTTTAAGTAATAATTTAAAAAATTAAATAAAAAGGTAGGGCTAGGTATAAGGTTATAATATATAATAATTAATTTTTTTTAAATACTTTTTTTTACTATTTTAAGTATTTAATAATTAGCTAATATAATAATATACTAGGGTAGTATTATACGCCTTATTTTTATAGCTAGTTTAGTAAATTTATACAGTATTAATAAATATATAATTTAAATAATAAATTATAAATAACGGTTTTTTTTTTAATTTATATAAAAGTATTTAATATTATTTTTAGTTTACTTTTTATTTTTTACATAATTAATTAAATTAAAAAGGTTATTAATATTATCTCGTGTCTTTACTTATACTAGCTACTTTTTTATTTTATTTTGTTAATATATATTTAATAAGACCTTGGTATAATTATTATTATTTTTTATATTTAATAATAATAATTTTTAAATAATATTTACTTTTTATTTATTTTAAAGCGCCTGGTTAATATTAATATTTATATATTAAAAGTAGGTATAGTCTTTTTTTAAGTATACTTTATATAATATAAATATAAAATTAGTTAGTATTTATAATTAGGCCTTAATATAATATACTAGGCCTAATAAAATAGGTTTTAGTATATAAATTATTAAATAATAGTATAATAAGTATTTTATAGCTATTTATAGTTTAGCACTTTTTAATACTTGCGTAGGTAATAAAAATAAATATTTATTTTTTTAGGTAAGGTTTAAAAATTAGGTATTTAATATATATTTTTTAGGCACTAGATTTTTAAGTTTTTTAGTTAAATAATTAAAAAGGCTATTAATATTAATAAATTTATAATTATTAAACTTGCCTTTATAATTTTTTTCTTATAAACCACTAGAAAAAGTACCACGGGTAACTTTTATAATATTAAGGTATAAAAATAACTTAAAAAGCTAGGGGCGCTTATAGTAATATTAGTAAATACCTAGTATATTTTTTAGGTATAAAAATTAAATATTTTATTAAAATTATATAAAATAAGCCTTGCTTACTATAATAATTTTTAAATTTAGGTAATTTTTTAAAATATACTAAATATAAGGGCGTAGTATATTATTTAGTAAGTTAGTTTTTATATTAATTTTTTTTCTAGTTACTATATATAAAGGTAGTATATATACTAGTACTCCCCCTTTAATACTAGTATAATTTTTTTATAAATTTATTATAGGGTGCGTGCTTATAAAGCAGTACTTTACTTTTTATTAATTTTAATTATAAAATTAATAATAATTAATACTTATATATAATAGTAGGTGCTTTTACTTTTAGTAGGCAGGGCTAATATTTTTATAAACTTAAGTAAGTATAGGTTTTTAGTAACTTTTTATACTAGGTTAATTATACTATTTTATAATATTTTTTATATAATATTTTTATTACTTGGCGGTTAACAGCGCGTGGTAATAGCCTTTTTAATTAGCTAGTTATTTTATATTTAAGTAAATATAAAATACTAGTAATAAATATTTAGTTTATACTTATTAATATATATAAAACTATAGTATTATAAGTTAATTTTTAATTAATTATATTTACTTATTTTTGGTGGCGGGCTCCTAGGGCTAAGAAATTAAAAAATATAATATTATTAATATACTAAAAGTAAGTTAAAATATAATTTTTAAACTTATTAAGTATTTTTTAAAAAATAATATTATAAGTAATAATATATCTTGCGGGTTTAATTTTAGCTAGCTATAAAAGGCCTAAGGCATGTAATTTAGCCTAGCTTTAGGTAATTAAGTTATAACTAAATAATAAGATAAGGCTAAATTAAAATAATAGCTAAATTAATAGTTAATTTAAGGTGTAAAAAATTTTAGCTAAATTTAATATATAGGCGGGCGCGCGGGAAGTTACTAACTAATTTTTTTTAATTTTATTATTTATAAAATCCCGGGCATAAATAAGTTTATTATTTTTTATAATTAATTTTAATTTTTTTAGGTGGTAATTATTATAGCTAGGCTAGGAGGGCATGCCTAGGGCATAATTAATATTTTTAGGTATAATAATTAATATTATATATTTTTTTTATTTTTTATTACCCACGCGATTTATTATAATATTATTAATATTATTTTAAATAGCTTGCTATTTAGTATTTAAACTTAAGCTATTAAATATTTTTTAAATTTTTTTAATTAATAATTACAAGTGCATATGCTTAAAAATATTTATAATAATATTTATTTAATTTTTATTATTATAATACTTAAAATAAGAATATTTTATATTTTTTTTTATTTTAGCGTGTTGCTTTTCCATGTTTTTAATAATTTTTTTAGCTATATTTTAAAACTTATTTTTATTAATAATTATAAAGTTAGTTACTTTTCACGCCTTGGCCTTTAAAACATGTTTTTAAAGCTTTATAATAATATTTTTTAAATTATTTTTTATAATAAATAATATTATAAATAGCTTTTTTTATTACTTATATTACATGTTAAGCAGCGCGTTTTTAATAATTTAAATAGCTTTTTCTATATTAATATAGGTTACTAGGTTAATTTTAATTAACTATTACTTTATAAAAAAAATAGCACCTATAGTTATTTAAGTTTATTTTAAAATATTTAATAAACATGGGGTTAAGGCGTGCTACTAGGGTTAATAAAGGCTTAATAATTAAAAAAGGTAGTATTAAATAGTATTAATTAATAAACTTATTTATATATATAAAAAGGCACTTTTATTATTATAATTATTATTTAATTTTTAAATATCCTGGTTTTTAAGCACTTAGTAATTATAAAATTAATAGGTTTTAATATGCTTAGTGCTAATATTTTTACTAGGTTAAAAGGCTTTTATTTTATTTTTTTTAAGTGCTTGTATTAGGTGGCTATTACTTTCTTACTTTTTTTAAAAAAATTAAAAAAAAAAATGATAAGGCCATGGTTATAATACCTAGCACCCTAGTATGGGTAGTAATAATTTAAATAGGCAGGTAGTTAATAAAAAAAAGTAGTATATAATAATAAAAAATAGTGGGTAAAGGTAATATTATAAACTAGGGGAAATATAAAATTAAATAGCAAGAGTTAAAAAAAATAAAAAATATAAAATTTTTAAAAAATATTAAGTTATAATAGGCAAAGCGGGTCTAGGTAATAATAAGTAAAATATAAAAAAATTAACCTTAATTAATAGGGGGGTAATATAAAAAAAATTAATTAATAAAAAATAACATAAAAAAACTAACTAATAGTAAAATATAAAAAAAATTTACTTAGTAACTTTTTACTTAGCAACTTCTTAACTTTTTACTTAGTAACTTTTTAACTTTTTACTTAATAACTTCTTAACTTATTTTAGCTAGTGGCAGTGGTATAATAATAACTAAATTTTATTTATTTAATACCTAGCTAGCTTCTTATTTTACTATTATATTTACCTAGTTTTTTATATCCTAGTTTTTTTTTACCTTTTATTTTTTTATTTTTAAATTTTTACCTTGTTTTTAAGTTCCGCGGTGCTATTAATAAAGTTTTTATTTAAGTAAAATAATTTTAACCTATTATTATTTATTATATAGGCCATGCATGTACTATTAAGTTTACTTAATTAATAAGCTTTAATATTAATATATACTTTTTTAATTTAATAAGGTCCTAGTTATTAAAACTATAATTTAACTATTATTTTTAAATTTTATTTTTATTTATTATTTTATAAGAGCACGTAGTTACCTTTTTTTAATAATATATATTTAATAACATGGTTATTATTTTAAATATTTTTATTTTTTTTTAAATATATTTTAGTTGCAAAACTACTTTTTTTATATTTATATTTTTTTTAATTTACTAGGTCCTTATTGTAATCAGGTTTTTTTAGGTATAAATTTTTTTTTTAAAATAAGGTTATTTATATAAGTACTTTAAGTTTAATTAAAAAAATTACCTTTTAA